TACTTCGTGTATGCAAGTATACATGTATGTATGTACTTCGTGTATGCAAGTATACATGTATGTATGTACTTCGTGTATGCAAGTATACATGTATGTATGTACTTCGTGTATGCAAGTATACATGTATTTTGTACCTCGTGTATGCAAGTATACATGTATGTATGTACTTCGTGTATGCAAGTATACATGTATGTATGTACTTCGTGTATGCAAGTATTCATTGTATGTATGTACTTGGTGTATGCAAGTATACATGTATGTATGTACTTCGTGTATGCAAGTATACATGTATGTATGTACCTCGTGTATGCAAGTATACATGTATGTATGTACCTCGTGTATGCAAGTATACATGTATGTATGTACTTTGTGTATGCAAGTATACATGTATGTATGTACTTCGTGTATGCAAGTATACATGTATGCATGTACAGTGCATATGTACGTGGCGCTTATAGATGTATGTACATAAATATACATGTTCGGTAAAGCATAGTACAGTAACATATGCACAGATCTGTTTATTTTCCGCCCGTAGACACCGGGCTTTGTGCTTCTATCAAAGAGCATTTCCAAATCGGTTCTTCATCCCTAATTCACGTCCTTTTCCTTCGCCCGAACGCCGCCCGCCCGCCCTCCCTTAGCTGCGCGTCTCGGCGTCGCCTGCGCCTCGTCTCGGGCGGCGGGTGGGCGGCGGCAGGAGGTGTGCGTGGAGGGCGCCCGCTCGGGGACGGCGAGTGGCACACCTCGCGGCCGAGCGTCGCCCCACAACTCCTCCTGCGCGTCGACGGCGGTGACGGCGGGAGCCTCACGAACCACTCGCTGGACTCCTTCGCTCTGCTCTCCTGGGACGCCCGCGCAGGAAGGGGGCCGAGCAGAGGGGGAGAGGGGCGGTCGGACCCCTAAGGCCCCTACTCACCCCGTTCTGCCGCCCTTCATCCACGTGGATAAGCACGACGGGGTCACCGTCGGCGGCTGGCCGGAGTTTGAGGCAGGGCGGCTCGTGCGCGTGCACCACGACCTCAATGAAAAGTAAGTCGTCCTCTCTCTCCCTCTCGCCGCTTCCCTCCCCTCCGCCTCCCCCCCCCCCCTCCTCTCTCTCTCTCTCATCTCTCTCTCTCTCTCTCTCTCTCTCTCTCTCCTCTCTCTCTTCTCTCTTCTCTCTCTCTTTCCTCCCCCTATCCCTGTCTCCCTTTGCGCCCTCCCTCCTCTCCTTCATACCCTGATCCTTCCCCTGTTCCAGGCTGCATCGACGATCTGCGGATCTCAGGGCGGGCGCTGCCTCTCCCGCCGGCGGTCAACGGAAGCCGGTGGGGCCAGGTGACTCTTCCCGCCACTTGACTCTCGGCTGCGCTGGCAACCCGGTGGATGTCTCAACTTCACCTGTGAACCTCCGCTGACCTGCACTTCCCCCTGGGGTCGACAGCCTTCTTGCAGGTCGGTCAGAGCGATGCGAAAGGTTCTAGGCTATCCGTCTTGATCACAGTAATTTTTATATCTTTATTAGTGTCGCAAAAGTAGCCGCAATGCAGCGTCAGAGAAGACGCTGCTGAAACCAATTGTAAGTTGCATTTATTCATATGAAAAGAATTTCCGCTTCATAATTTCCAGTTGTCTTGAGCACTAAGTTTAGGTCATAAAATGTGTCTTATTTCCGGAAGCTGTGGTCCAGGCCGTATCCAGGTCGGGCACGCATGCGAGGACGTTGACGAGTGTGCATGGAACCCTGCCTTCATGGGGGTACCTGCTACAACCTGCAGTCTGGCCACAAATGCGTGTGTGGCCCAAGCCATGGGGGACCACTGCCAGTGGCCACACTCAGGCCCAAACACAGGACCCCTCGGCAGCCCAGGCACCATCACTGCTTTCTCCGTCGCTATTTTGCTAATGGGTCAGCCCCAATTTCTACTAAAGTTGATGATTTTCCTTGAAAGTCTCGTCATACAGTTACCATATCTTATTTTCTTCTTCGAGTTTTCACTAATCATTCGTCATTCATTCTTCCAGTTCTGCTGCTTACAGTGCTCTCCCGACACCTGGCGCGGCATTTCTGCAGAGGGGGCCTAGGGGGGGAAGGGCACGGAGGAGCAGGCCACGGGGCGAGAGGCCAAGGGAGGGGTCACGGAGGGCGGGGGGAACGCAACATCAGAAAGGACGGGCCTCAGGGACCCTTTCTGAAGGACTTCGAGTGTAGGATTACAGGTGCAGACCCCGCTGTGTGGCAGAGTGAAGGTGAGGGAAGACCTGGCACATCTTATTTGAAAGCAATGGAACAAGAAAATTTACCATAATTTGAATTAAAGTAATAGTATGTGAAATAACATCAAACACAATTTTTAAATCTTTACATAACCATTTTGGAAAAATATATAGGAATCAACCTCTTTACAATATGCACTTGGGAGATGTATGTTACTGCATCAGATTGTATGGTGCAATGAAATAAATACAAGTGGGCCAACCCCTTAAGTTTTACTTTGAAACATTATATATTCAGATACATAAATATAAGATAGCAATTCTTTTATAGGTAATGCTTGCCTATAAAATATAAATAATTTCTCAAACTTGCAGACTTTGAAACTGACCCTTCTTTCGAGGCAATACCTGTCTGTACCAGGTCCTGCATGGATCATATTGCAGAGGAAGGGAGGCAAGTGGTTGTCCCCGGCATTCCAGGGCCATTTTTACCTTCTGATGACCTTCGAGCTTATGCCTACGAGGGGGATAGCTCACCACCAGGTTCCCTCTCCTCTACCGTTTCAGGTAAAGTTGAAGAAATTACAGAAATCTGAAGTTAAAGCAAAATTGTAAGAAAGATCTTCATTGATTTGGCATTGCTCTCTAAATATATTTTTTTCCCCATAAGGACTGCAAGAAGAAATGGATAATATCAAACCTCAAATGCCACAACTCTTGGAGGTCATGGAACTTCTGAAAAATCTTCCTGACGGATCAAGATCTTCCTTTACAATAAGCAGTCCTCACACACAAGAGGAACAAAAAGAAGTCACTGAAACCTCCCCGAAAATATGTAAACAGGAACTACACAGTCAACCAGAAGACCGCACAAAGATTCCAGGGACTGCACAGGTTCGATCACAACCTTACCTTTTCAGACTTTTGATTCAGTCTTCTACTTTTATATCACATAAATGGAAAAATGTAATAGGCAGCAATTCATCCAATGAGGAGAGGCCTCAGACCGATCTGCAAAGAAACTCTCAGCTGGCTACTATTTCATAGAATCTTCCTCTACTGCGGTGCCATTCGGAAGTCCTCCTTCCCTTCTTTTTTTTTAAACAGCTTGTCCACAGTGTAATTGGGCATGAACTGGGTAATGGGCAGGTGATACATATTTTTACTTTGATATCTACACTGAAGTCTCTGTGAATAAATACCAAAAGATTATAAGATTCCACTTGAAATTAATTCATTCCTGAAGTTCAATTAAAAAGGAAAGAAATGAAAAAAATGAAATAAAATAAGTAAACAGACAAATAAATGAATCTATAAAGTTGCCTACGACAGGAAATTGTTTAACAGAATATAATAAACTACCATCAAGAAACTGCCCATTCAGGAAATCAGTCCGAGAGGTCATTTTTATTCATTGCAATATTTTTCTAGTACCTTTTAAGTTTAGTACATTTGGTGTGATATTATTAGGTTTTATAAAATATACTACTCACTTCGAATGTTTTTTTTGTATCCTCTAAAATTGCTTAAGTATTTTGCCAGCTGTTCACAGAAGCATCAAAATGAATGGTACCAAATTTCTTCAGATGTACAGAAAGATTTGAAAGTTGTGAATTTATTTATTGAAAATTTTCCTGCCATGTCAACATCTAAGGTCATTAGCCCACAAATTACGCCATAGAGCAAGGTTTGGGGCGAAGCTCCAGGTAAGAAAAGGTCACATAGCATTATGATAAAGTATTGTGGGAAAAAGGTAAAAAATGAATTAACAATTAGGACAAAATATGTTACAAGTCAAAGGTTGTAGAGCATTGTAGGTTAGAATGGTACCGAAAAGAGTAACGAGGAAATAGCAGAGTACTAGAGGCCATTCAAGACTGACACAAAGTCATCCTTTCATCTTTTCAGCACGGCTCTCACACCTTAGGAAGTGGACTGAAGAAGAGGATGAAAAGAAGGCAAAGGAAAGGGTAAGAAGAAAAAAAACATGCAAAATTAGTTGCGGCGAGGGCTGAGATCCGTGTCAGGGAGTGATCCCCAGCGTTGGATCCCAGTCTCCATCTCCTAAGCTCACATACGACAACAATGGGCAGATGAAAATTGTTGAACTCCAGTCAATAATGCAAGAAAAAACAAAAATAATTCAAATCAAACAATTTATTAAAATTATAAGCTTCATTACAGTCTCGTGTGTAACAAGGATACACAATTTTCATGTCATTATTTATTTTATTCATAAAATATTGCTAATATTTTCATACATAGCCCTTAGATATCATTTCCTTTTCTGGTGCCTTTTCCTATCTCTCTTTAAGCCTTTATACATGTCTCTGGTATTCTCACTGTTGGGGCGTTTCCGTTGTCTCTGCTTTCCAACCATTATTTCTTCATACTTTCGTTTCTGGAACCTGTAAAAAAAAAGATGAAAAGTTGGAATACTTTCTGTGCCAATGAGACTATTTGCCCTCTTACTATTACTAACTATTACTACTTTTATTACTACCATTTCTACTATTAATTATTACTGTTAACTTTTATGAGCTTAAAAGCTGGAGGAGACAAAGTCATCCATGAACAGAAGATGCTATCTGGGTCAAACGGTTATTTATACAAACAAGGCAGAAAATAATATGTGTAAGATAAAGTTTTCCATGCTGGGAACTATTTTTACTTCATTTGTTTTCTCTACTATGGATGTGAATCCTCATACACATACTACATAGACTACAGAATGAGTATTAATAGTCCACATATGGTACATATGCTGTGTTCTGAACTGCTTATCAAATTCTGACAAAAAACTAGGTAACTCAGACAGACAAGTTGTTTGTGGTTAAATCTCTTAATTGTAGGACTATCACTATAGAGAGAAGCAAACCGAATGGTACATCAATGTAATCATCAGTTAACCCCTATGATCCAGAAATGAAAAAAAAAAAAAAAAATTGGCTTGGGGGTGGGTGACCTCAACATGTCATCATGGAAAATTTGGCTGAGGGCCAGGGTGGTGGCAACTTGTATAATAACTGAAGGCTAGAGTGAAAGGAGTGCACAAAGCCCTTGAAGGGTGATTAGACTTGGTGGGCAATTAGGAAGTGGCTCTTGCAATACACAAAAACACAAAATGGTATTTATTGCCATTTTTTGTACTGAGTTATGGACTACCTAGAGAGATGATATGAAGTCTGTGCACGGTAAACAAGTCTATTACAGTCTGGAGAAAGCAAGTCAAATGACAAATACACATTAAAAAATGGCAAAAAAGCTCAAAATGGTCATGCAGAAAGAGAGAGAATAACACTGCAAAGGGGAGGCATAGAGCTTTGTCACCAGGATTTGTGTGCACCCAGCCTACAAGCCACACACTTGTCAAAGAAGCCACTTGAAGCCTAATATCCGTCTTTTGGGCCATGTGTGGGCAGTGAAGCACCTGCATTCAAGGGCTAATTTGGAATTATTGGATGAAAAGAACTATAGGTATCTGAAGTTATATATAATTTATTGACTTTTAACCCAATGTCGATGGAAAAATAATGCGTTCCCTTTGGCAATTGCTTGATTAAATGTTTGTACACATAGATGGCTCTGCCAATGCTCAGCCACAAAGGAGTCAATTAGTTGAGCTTGCAACCTCACTTTTCCTTGAAAAAGCGGGCTTACTTATGCTATTAATATTGACATTGTTATTTTTGTTATAAACATTATGATTACTATATTGTGGCTGACATTACTAACAGTAATACTGAATATTAGAAAATAGTATCGAAAATCAAGGAAAAGGATAAACAGGTTAGACAGGTAGTTCGCGTAATTGGTTCATTGGTGTCAGTACTTGTGGAGCCATCTATATGTAAAAGCAATGACTAAATTCAACACACGCAATGGGCAATGGCATGTACATACATGCCATGCCCGGCAGCTTGGGGTTAACAGAACTTTTGCCAGGTTTATTATTACAAGTCATTACTCTACAACACCCATCATCTCCTTTGTTTCCAAATAAACCCAGCTCTGTTTGATCTCACAAGGTGGGTGCGTGCATGCATGTGCGTGTGTGTGTGTGCACGTGTGTTTTTTTATGGATAATATATATAAAAAATTTTGTACTGAGACCATGTATTACTATAAAAGAGAGGAAAACAGAGGTATCCGTTATTTTCATTTTTTAAGAAAAATTAATGCCTCTTTCTCAAAATTACAATTACCTGGATTGTAAATTACTGGCTACTAGTAACCCATTACTTAACTCTGGTTAGATTAATTCAATTAATAATCCTAATCAAATTCCTTTTTTATTTCTTTGCTCCAAGAAAGCTTACTGAGCAGAATCTAATATAATCTGAAAGTGTTAAAAGGCATACCTTAGGCTTTCTTCATTACTCAAGATCTCTTCTGCCAGCGTCCTCTTCCGGCTTTTCTTTGGAATGCGAGATGAATAGAAATCTACAGGAGACTCCACAACGGTACCAAGGTGAAAATGCTTGGGCAAAACCTGTAAAAGGAAGAAACGTGAAAAATAATATTCACATAGCGTAAAACCAGGGATCATATTCTTTCCAACAACCTAAAGATGGAACGAAACCTCAAACAATACACAGACGCATTAGGACTCACCTTCATATCATTATTCTTATAATGCCTCTTCGGATCTAGGACAGATCGCATCTTAAGGAGCTCTAGATCCCGCTGGATTTCTTCTGTCATCTCGGGAGCCTTCATGTCAAACCATCCAGCACCCTTAGTCTTCTCTCGCTCAATCTGTGAAATCATGGTTTAAATCAATCTCAATGGCTAGTATCCTCTAAACAGAACAACTTCTGCAATCTTCCAACTGAATACGTTAGAAAGTCAAGAATGGTGACAACTTTAAAAATTAAGAAATAGTTTATCAAGAACATTAGTCTATTTTTTTTTTTATCTATTAAGTTTTGTTTTTATTTACTAATACCTTTCTAATAAAGGAGGAGATATTAAGATGATTTGGTCTTCTCCTTTGTCTTCTCTGTATACAGAGAACAAACGTTATCTTTTCTTTTTTACATGCAGAAAGAAAAGAAAAAGCACACATATCCGGCAACTTACAACCCATAAGATAAACATTAAAAGCAAACCACTGCATGTCTTACCATCCTCTGCTTCTTCTTTTGATATTTGGTAAGGTGATAAGGAGCCACCTTTTTCTGCTTCATGAACTCTGGCTGCAAAGTCTGTGAATTCTCCAGCACCTTCTGCAACTGATCATCACTCTTCCCCTGTAAATCTCCCACCTGCAGCTCGTCACTCAAAACCCTAAAGAACGCAAAAGAGTGATTAGGTTTAGTAATAAAAATCGAGTCTCCTAAGAAGATAGGAAGAAATCATTCTGTTTCAATAGAGATTAACTCCCCCAATTGCTCATCCATTACAAATACAAATATTGGGGAGTGGGAAGGCTGGAGGCAAGGAGAGGGAGAGGGAAGAAGTATGTGGAGGGGAGGGGAGATGAGAGACAAAGGTAGAGGGGAGGAGGGGAGGAGAAGATGGGGAGACAAAAGGTAGAGGAGAGAGGAGAGGGAGAGAGGAGAGAGGAGAGAGGGAGGGAGTGGGAAAAGAGGAGGATAAGAGAGAGAGAGAGAGAGAAGGGGGTGGAGAACAAAGAATATTGATCTTACATTCTCCGATACTTTAAAGTTTTGTCAGGAGCGCTACTCTTCTTCTTCTTCTTCTGCTCCTTCGAGCGCACAGTCTTCACCTGTCGAACCGAGAGCACCACCTTGTGGCCAGTCAGCATCTGTAAAACTTGCTCCCACTCACTTCCATCTTCCTCAGCTTGCTCCTCATTGCCTGTTTAAAATATAAATTAGAAACTGTAAACAATTCTACAATTCTAGGTTCATACATACATGCATATATCAAAACAAACATACATGTATATATCAAAACAAACATAGATGCATATATCAAAATCATACAATCTGACGAGAAAATCTGAGGCTGATATGAGACAGGTAACAATTAAAAAGGAGAGGAAAAGAAAAATGGAAGTAAAGACAGAATTCAATGAACTTAGTAATAGGCAAAATAAGATAAGCTGTCTGAGGATAACTAGAAAAAGGGTACTTAGGGTGATACTTAAAACTTGTGTTACAATTGCAGAAATAAAAAAAACTGATAGAGAGATCTTAAAACAGACAAAATGCTTGAGATGATTATTAAAACAGCTATGACAGGCAACAGTCCACTGAGAGTGTAAGTGCTACCCTTCCTAACTAGACCCCATTTGTCTTGGATTTTGGTTTATTGTCAAGTGCGCTATTTTGAAATTTTACATCATTTGCTTATAAATCTAGGGAGGACACAGGCAGTAACATGCAGGGAGATGGGAAGAGGATGACTGAATGGCAACTGTCAATGAGCATGAGTGCACTGCTCGCTCTCTGGTGCAATTCCTGCATTCATGTAACTTTCAGGGTCTGTGTCTCAAAACTGATTTGGCAGAAGAATATATACCATGGAGATCTGAGAAAATATTAAACATTTCATTCTAAATAAACAGCCCTCAGTATTTCTTATATGTGAAGGATAAAATTTATAAGTAATGAATGGGGACTGGCAATATCATTTGAAGTGAAGCAAGCAATTAACATAAAGCAGGATTTTCAGCCTAAATCTCTAATGAGTTAAGAACAATTTCACCTTTGCCTCATGCCTAATGACAAGCAAACCAAAGTTTCTCCCACTTTCTAATTGTACCAATCTGGATGATGGCAGACTGGTCCTGGGCATCCTGGGTGCCCTCCCATCCTACACTGGAGTACCAGCTTGGAGGGGTTACAGGTCTGGGGAGACTTCTAATCATCAATATGAATTTAGTTCTTCTTTGGAATACTGGGCCAGCAACACCCCTGCACTAATTGAGAACACTGCTGTCCTATTTTGGGGTACCAAAGTCCAAACTCCGTAAGAAGGTAACAAACCCTGTCCTACGCCATGAAGTACCTTGCTCAATTTGTCTCCTCATTCTGCGGACGAGGAAGAAGAAACCCTCTTTCTTCTGATTGGTGGTGTAGGTCAACACGAGGTCCTCATCGAAGAGCTTCACCAGAGCCTGTCTTCCTGGTCCTGCATCTTCGTCGTCCCCATATTCACTGATTTTACTTTCTTCAATCAGTGTATTTCTTTTCTTGCTCTTGCCTTTCTCCTATAAACAAAAATTCCAATAAGCCTTTTTTCCCCCAGTAGGAACCAATATTTACGACCTAATGGGGGCCAGGATGGTTTAGATGCTCATTCACTTTTGCCATTTCAAATAACCCAAAAGATTCAATTTTATCCCTATGATTTAAGTAATTCTGAGAAAACAGAGACCCAAGAGTAATTAAGTAAACATGGAAATCAACATGACACACAAATGGAATACTTAGAAATCTAAAAAATCTTTTCCAAGGACCAATCTACATCCTTTTTTTATTTTTCAAAACCTTTGCTTTGTTTCATTTTGTTGTTTAATCTCAGCATGGAAACTAAACAAAAAACAAAAAAAATAAAACATTAGGGTGGAGTGATTTTTTTTTTTTTTTTTTTTAAGGCCTGGCTGGGGAAGAGTTGTGGTTTCATAATACAAATTTTGTGTTAAAATGATTTTCCTCTAGATAATATTTAGACTATGCACACTGAGCCTTAAGCTCTTTCCTATATCACTAATTAAGACGTGTTTCTTCCAAATGCACCATGGTATCTGTTGTCAACAACTATTGTGTAAACTAAGATATTTTAACAACCAAATGTGTAATAAAAATAATAGAATGAGAAAAGGCATTTGTTAGCTACTGTCTCTTCATACCACAATGCTATCTAAGATGGTAATTCTTTTCAATCCAGGCGCATTTGCTTGAGACTATGTCCCCAACCCCAGGTCGAAAAATTTATTCAATCTATTAACCCTACCAAGGGAAGGGTTAATTGGAGGGGGAAGGCTCTACCCCCAAACACCCCCCAGGAAACACTGTCTTCACCTATTATGCACATGTAGAGCTGAAACTTGGGAGGATGAAGTCGACTTAGGTCGATCTCTTTCCTTTATTTGTGGCGTTATCACTTGTGTCTACAGAATATTTCTTGTATCAATGACTACAATTTTTTTTTTGCCCACCTTAGTCCATCAATACCGTAAAGATCAACCTCAAAGACATACAGTATGTGCAGCTCTTCGCTTATTTGAATATTTCTATACTTTTTATAACTAAATCACCCAGAATGCACCACAAAGAGGAGGGATACCCTTCCTTGTCTTGATGGTAGATATCGATACTGGATCATACTCCACATGTGTTTGGGCCCTTCTGTGCATGAAGACTTGACCTTGATGCAAAACCATATTGGTGTATAAACTCTCATGATGCATTCAGTTAAAACCAACAGATTATTTGAATGTTCCGTTATAGCAACACAGAACCTCAAAAATCGGATTTGCTGCTGTTACCCACTGTGAATGAATGAGATTTCTAGGCTGACATAAAGCTAGATTCTCAGAACAAACACCATACTTGAATGCTTCATACATATACTAGCATCACTGGCCAGTACTTAACACCTCTATATCAAGATCTGGTAGGTCTACATTAATACCATTTACCTGAAATTTCACTACTGGCAGTTTCTCAGCTTTGTAGAGCTCAACCTATTGGACCTAAGAATGCTTTTGGTCCACTTGATGAACCATCTATATGGTGAAAAAGCTGCAGTGGTAGTTCATTGGCATAAAGTTCACATATGAACCAATGTACTATTTATCAAAATATCGTATCTTACACAATAATTGTTGACAACAGGTACCTGGTGCATTTGGAAGAAACGTATAATAATTAGCATCAAAAGGAAGAACTTAAAGCTCAGTGTGCACAGTCTAAATATTATTTTAGAAGAAAATCATTTTAACACAATAATTGTATTATAAAATCAAAACTTTTCCCCACCTGAGCCTATTGGGGAAAAAAAAATAAGTCTTTTCACTTCACTGTAAACATGGAGACCAATATACATAACTATACAATTTTCTTCCAGGTTCTCATATACAACAGATTAATTTCATGTGAAAGCTGGTGTATCAATGCAGATTGGTCAGGTCTATCAATCCTCACTATCAATCACAATCATTTCTATGAGTATTTAACAGTTATTTCCTCCAAACCCATCAGGAAGGTCTTTTTAACACATTAAACCCTATCTTTGTTCACAAGAGCCCACTTTATAATATGCTGGTCCATTTATGGCCAATCTACCAATAGTAACTCAGAAATTTACAAAAATCACAATTACCTCTCCTTGAAGCTCTCGTACAACCATAAGCAACTCCCTGAAAATCTGAGCTTCGTTGACTTCCAGTTCGTCTTCTGCCTTGGTGACCAGACCACCAACAAGCACTGGATCTCCATGGCGCTTCTCAAACTGGATGTAGGCTAACCATAAACCTGATTGCAGTCACAAGAATGAGTTAATTTTCTTCAGTGATGGGAGCAAAATATAATAAACTGAAATATGTACACATGATAGGTCACTAAAGCAAATGAATAATGAATGTGATTAAAAAAAAATCCTTCACTTCAACAGGATATTTAATGATTTTGCACACATCTGGCTGGTTCTCTATAAATTATGGTAACTGATGCAGCTTATTTGTTGTTTAAGCAGTTAATTGAAAATTGATAAAAGAAAAAAAACTGAATCAATCACATTAAAAAAATGAAAGCTTTCTTCAAGATTCTTCCATATAAGTAAGATTATGTATAAAGGAAAATCAATAATAACTATAACAGATGTTCTATATAAACAAAGATGCACATTTGAAAATCACTTCTGCTACTTTACCTGGATGTTTTTTCCCAAACTGTTGCACAGCTGTGGTAAAAATCCCCCTGACCTTCTTGACATCCACTGTCTCTTTTGATAATTCTAGCTCCACCATACATGCATGAAGCTTATCAGAGAGCGGAGGAGACCAGTTCAGTTTTTGGTACAGTTTCCTTGCCTCTGGTAATCCTAAAATAAAAGCATTGGTTAATCTGGAGTGTTTCTTTTGAAATTCTTGGTACTGCAACTAATAAAATGGAGGCATTACAGATCTGTTTTGGCCACTGAGTGAGCCCTAAGCTCCATCTGAATTGAGAAATTACAAACAGGGCATCAAGTCTGAAGTGTTTTTGTACTGAACATAACTGCAAGGAACTGCTAGATATCTAAAGATTTTTTATGAACACATGACAACATTCCAGAATTTAAGTATATGAAAGGATTAAATACGCCTAAATTTACAATCAATATAT